AGAGGAGAGGAGAGGAGAGGAGAGGAGAGGAGAGGAGAGGAGAGGAGAGGAGAGGAGAGGAGAGAGAGGGATAGGAGGGGAGAGAACAGGAGAGAAGAGGAAGAGGGGGGAAGAGGGAGGGAGAAGAGAGGAGAGAGAGGAAGAGGAGAGGAGAGGAGAGGGAGAAGAGAGGGGAGAGAGGGAGAGGAGTAGCAGTTCAAGAGCATGTGTCAGTGCTGGTGGGCACCTGGGCATCCCAGTGTAAGTGTGTGGGGAAGGTGGCCACAGCTGAGACAGGAAGTGACCATATGGTGAGACAGGAAGAGACCACAGGTGAGACAAGAAGTGACCGTACCTGAGTATGTGAGACAAGAAGTGACCATATGGTGATATAGGAAGTGACCATATGCTGAGACAGGAAGTGACCATATGCTGAGACAGGAAGTGACCATGTGTGAGACAGGAAGTGACCATATGGTGAGAGAGGAAATGACCAAATGTGAGACAGGAAGTGACCATATGTGAACAGGAAGTGACCATATGTGAACAGGAAGCATCCAGACTTGCTCATGTAGAGTAGACTTCCCCACAGAATTAACCAGAGTTCTATGAAAACTACTTCAGTCTTTCCTGAAGGCATTTCCCCAATGGTGTCCTCTAAAGTCCTGCTTCTTGAAGGTTCCATCACATATTGTCCTACGGAGACCCAAGTTCCAACATGTGATCCTTTGAGGACTGCACTCAAAGCACAGCAGGCAGCCAGACAATCGCGCTCAATAATAGCAATGATGACACAGATAAACAGAAGCATCTACCGCGGGGAAGAGCTTCACAGTGGCCTCAAGTGTCTTCATGACATCAAAAGTTAGAAAACTGGCATTGCCTCTAGAGAGGAAAGGGAGGCTGTCTCGTAGATTATGAAAGAGTTTTATATCCCCGGTTATTATCCACCCAGACACCGGCCTTAGCAAAATAAGTGCTCCTGAGCAGTGAAATTGCTATATGATGAAATACTCAAATGGTCATGAGAATAAGAACCCGAGACAGAAAAGGTGTGTGTTGGAGAAGGTGCTTAAGAAAGAGGGAAGCCGTCTTGCCCCAACTCAGAGCACAGATATTCTCAGAGGACACTGGGTGGTTCACGGACTATCAAGAAGAGTGAGACAGAGACTTGGGCTTGGAGAGACCTAACAACCACACAGATCCAACACACAAGGCTTTGCCTTCGCCTCCTGGGTTTCCCTGTTCTTATTTGTTTGGTGAGAGAGAGAGGTAATCATATTTTAATTAAAAATAAAATAAATTTATAAAAAGAGTCAGGAGCTGGAAATTCAATAGGAGGGGACAAGTTCTTCCCATGAGTCTCTTCACTTGGAGCTGCAGCCCTTTCAGTGGGGAACCCAAGCTGACACTAGTACAGAAACCAAACAGCAACTTCAGGGGCGGAGCAAAGTCAGGATGTTGTCACAGGCACAAGGTGGAGGAGGGGGTAAAGGAGAAGAGCCGGAAAGAAGTGGCGAGGCAAACACTCCTCCTTTGTCAACACCAGGAGCCAAGCTTGATAGATACTATTAGGGGACCCAGACAGAATTACCCAAGGCCTTGGAGTTACCAAAAGGGAATACGTGTGTGAACGAGCACGCACACACATAGGAAGCAGAGTATCGCAGGGCATGTGGGCGGGGAGGTGGCTCAGTCGGTACAAAGCTTGCCGTTCGAACATCAGGACCTGAGTTTGATCCCCTAAGACACACGTAAAACAAGACAATGCCAGGCACCATGGTAGCGCGGGAAAGTAGAGAGAAGAAGATCAAGGGGTCACTGGCCAGACAGTCACATCTTCAAGTTCCAGGCTCAGCAAGAGATCTTGTCTCATAAATGAGGTAGAGGAAGGGGGATTGGGGTGATGGCTCAGCAGTTAAGACACTTGGGCTCCTGGCCTGAGTATGGTTCTCGCACCTGGCAACCAGCTGTGACTCCAGCAGCAGGGGCTGGAGTACCCTCTTCTGGCATCCAGAGGCATCTGCACATATGTGTGCACACACACATAAGAAACATGTCTTTAATACAATGAAGTGGGGCAGGAGGGATGGGTCAGATGTTAGGTGCACTGGCTGATCTTCCAGAGGGCCTGAGTTCAGCACCCACCTCAGGCAGCTCACAGACGCCTGTAACTCTAGGTGCATGGGATCCAACACTCTCCTATTGCTGTCACAGGCACCTGGACTCACATGCATGAACTCCACATAGATGCATACATGCATACATACATACACACATACATACACACACGCACATAATTTCAAAAAGTAAATCTAAAATAAATTCAAAAAGTTGTTAAATTTGAAAACTTGCATGCCGTCATGCATAGGTCTACAGTCACATGGAGATGTACACACAGAAGGAGAAATTATAAAAGCAATAGTCCATGTGTGAGAGGCAGGCATTTAGCAAATATTCTCGATAATATTAAGCTATCCGGGCCTGATGGTGCTGGCCTGTCCTACCAGCTGCCTGTGAGCCTGATGAGAGCAGATGGCCATCTCAACCCTGTTGGGTTACAGAGTGATGTTGAGGCCTGCCTGGGGGAGTTACTAAAACCCCGTCTCCAAAGAGAGCCGGGCTCAGTGGTAGAGCACTTGTTTAACTTGCCTGAGACTCTCGAGTAAGACTTTCAACAAGGTCAGAAGCGAAGCAGGTGTCAACCCCAGAAATGAGAATCCTTGCCGTGAGCATCCTTAAGTCTGCATCCAGGTGAGGAATGCCACGCCATGCCAGAGGCTTTTTAGAGGTTCCTTGTTCCTTATTTGCTGCCACACTGTACCAATGGCTGCTGGCATCACAGTCTGATAAGTGAATGCTAAGATCTGATTTGTGCTGAGTCTCCAGTGATGTCTATCCCAGCATCCCAGGGATGGTGGAGAGGGAGGTGACGCTGCAGAAATGGCCACTGTAGCTCTGGATCCCTGTGGCAGATGGAACTGTGCTTCTGCCTCCCCAAACACGTATGTCCCAGTCCTAATCACTACTACCCCAGGACGGGGCTCCTGTGACCTGTGGGTCTTTGCAGTTACAATTAGTTAAGTTGAAGGTATAGTAGAGAAGGCTGGACTTGACTCCAATAGCAAGGATGCTGTCCTTGCTAACTGGGATTTAAGGCAGGACACCAAACACCGTAAGATGGACACGCGAAGACTTAGCTGTCCTTCCACAGACAAGAGCTGCCAAGGAACTGAATGGACCCGAGACAGATTCGAACTCGGAACCTTCAGCGGAAGCATAGCCACGATGACATCTTGACTTTAGATTTCTGGCTTCTGGGAATGACGGAATGGCTTGCTGTTCTCAGGTTCTCGGGTGCGGGACACTAGCGGAGTCACACACTGGACATTGTCCTTAACGTTGCCCCCACCTGGCCCTCTCCTGACAGGAAAGCATCTCACACTGCTGAGTTCCTTAGAACATCCACCCCACTGGCTGTGTTTTTGCTTTCACTGTCTCCATGATAATGAGGTCATGCTTTTGTGTTCATGCGTAAGTCCTTTGCGCATGGTAGGCTTACAGTTGAGCAATCGGCTTAGGGCAGAGTGACGGCCTTCTGCAGAAATACCATACACAGATGTTAGGGATTGCCAGAGGCGACAGCAAGCAACTAGGAGGAAATAGTTGATTCAAAGATCCTGATGTGATCCAAGATGAAGATCCGTCATGTGCCTTCGTGCACCACGTGACACAGTAGCTGATACCCTACAACGGCCTTGCCGCAGGCACAGTGAGAAAGCCACTGACCTGTGGCACACTCATGGTGGATCCCAAGGATCATTTCTGTTATCTTGGTGGGCAGGACTTCAGAGATCTTAGATCAGTTGTTGTTGTTGTTATTATTATCATCATCATCATCATCATCATTATTTTACTTCGACAAAATACCTGGCAAAAGAAGCCTAAAGGAGGGAGGTTTATTTTGGTTTAAAGTGTGATGGGAGTGATGCCATCCCGGCAGGGAGGTAATGCCATCCTGGAAAGGAGGGCATGGAGGTGAGAAGGGTGAGGCCACTGGCCACACTGGATCTACAGTTAGGGCACAGAGTGTGGTGGGCGCTGGCGCTCAGCTCCCTATGCCTTATAATTCAACCCAGACCCCCAGCCCATGGAATCTTGTCTTCTACAGTTTGGGTGGATCTTTCTACCTCCATTGACTCAACCTAGAAAGTCCCTCACAGACACTATCAGAGGTTTGTCTCCTGAGTCTAGATTCTGCCATAGAGTGACTGCATTTGAGTCCTGTACCTCTGTCGCCTTGCCTGTTCCCAATGTGTCCTAGCAATGCTAAAGTGGCACCACGGGCAGCCTAAGTGGTCACAGGATGACATCAGGAGCCAGATCATCCACCTTCAAGGGATGGATTGTCTGACCCGACCTAGGGAGCTGCCTTTCCCCCTTTACTCATTATTTCCTCTTGATTTTCAGATTGTGGCCAAGAAATACAGAGATTTTGAGTTTCCCTCCGAAATGACTGGCATTTGGAGGTACTTAAACAACGCTTACGCCCGGGATGAGTTCACTAACACATGTCCAGCTGACCAGGAGATTGAGCACGCGTATTCCGATGCGGCCAGAAGGATGAAATGATGTTGGGTTGCTTCCTGTCTTTTTCTGCAGCTGAGTGAGCGAGGCTTCCGGGAGAACCTTCTCTGCACCTTCCCAGAAACAGCTCCTGCAAAATGCCACTGCAGGATGCTCGGCCTTGCCATTTGTCTGCTCATTCCTCCATCTCAGCTATGCTAATTTATGCCTTTGAGATTCAGTTCTCTTGTAATCCAAGTTTAGGGCGATCTGTTTTGTGCTCTGTTGCAAAGCACAGTGGCATTGACTTCCTCCTCCTCCTCCATTTTAAAGAAGTTAGTCTTTCCTTGATAGTTTTGATAATCACATAGACAGCTGGGTTTTCTCTTCTTATGTATTTGCTTAAAATGAGAAGGTGTTTTATATTTATAATACTTTAGAACCGTGTTAAAGGATATGAAGAAGAAAGTAAGAATTATCTAAAACTTATGCTATATAACTTCTGATAACAAATTGGTGAATATTTCTAGAATTTTCAGTCTTTCATGTATGCCTGTGTGTGTGTGTGCGTGCACACACATATGCATACACATCACATATAATTTCATTCACTCATGGTGCGACATTTGTAGGAGGCTGATGAGGGGACCTTTTGGTGCCTTGGTGGTCATCACAGGAGACTCAAAACAAAGGAATTGTCCCTGCCAAACCACACAGGGACCACACTGTATGTAGGTTCACCTGCAAGCCAAGGGACAGCAGGAACTAGGGTGATGGGACCAGGGTGTCCTCTCTTGTCCTGAGGATTCTGTGGCCTCTGAGTCCAGGAGAAATGTGAGGTGTGGGAGAGAGGGCACCCCTGTGCCCCTTGTTCTAGCTTCCTCCCTGGTTCCTCCTCTTCTCTCTTCTCCAGAGGGCCTGTGTCTTCACAGGAGCTCTTCCAGTCAGCGGCATCTTGGAGTATCTTCCTGTCTGATGTCACATGTGAGCCTATGATTTTTGCTCATGGCAGTTCTTCAGTGAGGAGGATGTGGTTGAGGCTAGCTCATCCATGGCTACTTTCTGTCTCATTCTCAGGCCAAGTAGGAAAACTAAATTCCAGAAAAAACCCAGAAAGTCCAACTCTTGAGCAATTTTGGAAGACGGTCCTCTAAAGAGGAGCGGAGGAGTGTTTGCTCCCCTGCTGCCTTTCCTCCGTCATCCCTGGGGCCACCTTGCCTCATAGCTAGGCCTACGGGCAGGCTCCTTGGCTCCAGCCCAGGCGTGGATGTGAGGTCGCTTAGGTACTCTGCAAGACTTCTCAGGTTTGTCCCTCCACAGTCACAGGTCCTGCAGGAAGCGTCTCTTGTAACCTTGGCTAAGAAGTATGGTGGGCGCTGGAACCCTCGTGCATAGCCTGCTCATTGGGCAATTTGTTTGGATGCCTTAAAGCAGTAAGATCCAAGATTGGGTGGAGAATGTCTTGTAAGGACACAAAGTCCAATATGGAGGCTGCTTCATTTCCCTGTTTCTTAGAAGCTCTGGCTTCAGCCCAGCAGTTGGTTGGTTCATTTGTCACCGGAAGGAATCGTGTCTAGCCCTTGTCACCGCAGCCCACATTGTTTCATGCCCCTTTAGGAGTTAGTTTCTAGATCCTGCTTTTACAAAGTGGCGTTCATTCTTGGTTAATGGGTAGAAGTTAGGGTGTTAGACCTGTTAATTTTTTTCTTTTAGATATTAGGATGAGCACCAACTATGTGCCTTACAAATTAAACATTTTCAATCAACATTATTGTTTTTCTTTATTGTTTTTTGCACGTTTCTTTTCATGTGTGTGTGTGATGTGCCTACATGTATGTCTTTGCGTTTGTATGTGTGTGGGTGCCCATGCACGCTCAGTGACTGTATGGGAGGCCTGAAGACAATGTCAAGAATATTCCCACCTTATTCTTTTGAGGCAGGGTCTCTCAGTCTAACCCAAAGCTCTGTATAATCTGTCTTACTAGACAGCTTGCTTTAGGGATCCATCTCCACCTCTGAGGTGGAATTACAAGGTGTGTCACCAAGTCTACCTGACATTGACCTGTACTCTAGGGAGCTGAACCCCAGTGCAGTAAGCACTTTAACTGCTGAACCATTTCTAAGTTCCAGTGAAACTGCTCTCTCTCTCTCTCTCTCTCTCTCTCTCTCTCTCTCTCTCTCTCTAACTTTCCCATTTGTGATTAAAGGAATATAATGAAGGCTGAAGGCTATCAGTGTCTTTCAAAAGGTGAGATCAACTCTGAAGCAGAGGTTGCTGGTGTTTGGGTGACAGATAATCCATGTGTGAGCTGTGAGCCACAGACGTGCTAATGGCGCCTCAAAGAGGCCTGAGCAGATATATGTGACCTCTTCGTCCAGGTGACTGAAATAGACATCTGTAGGTCATTCCATTTATTCGGGCTGCTACAGGAAGGTGACTTCTTGGAGCAGCCATCCCCAGCCCTGGTCCTTGCTGCAGCCTTACTACCACCCTGCTCTGCCTTGAGCTCCACCCCAGCCCCACCCCATACCCCAGCCCACCTCTAGTCCCACCTCCAGCTCCACCTCAGTCCCACCGCACCCCCAGCCCCACCTCCAGGCCCACCCATGTCCCACCCTCAGTCCCACCCTATACCCCCGAGTCCCACCTTCAGTCCTACACTATACCTTCCCATTTCACCCCCCAGTCCCACCCCAGCCCCACTTCCAGCATCACCCAAGCCCCACCCCCCGTCCCACCCTATCCCCAGCTCCACCCCCAGTCCCACCCCAGTCCCACCCCAGCCCTACTTCCAGCCCCACAGCAACCCTACCCCCAGTCCCACCTCATACCCTCCCGTTCCATCCCCAGTTCCTCCCCAGCCCCAACCCATCCCACCCTCAGTCCCATCCCACACATCCAGTCACACTCAAGCCCCACCCCAGCCCCGCCCCATACCCCCAGCTCCACCCTCAGTCCTGCTCCACCCCCACATGGACCTTTTGAGCTAGTCTCTGTAGGTACAGACTCGTGTCCCATGTTGGGCATCAGATGTAAGAGAACACTAATAAAATAGTCCCACAACAGCTCAGAATTGAGGGGTTCTTTATTTAGGGGGGCTCACAGATCATAGTCCTGTGTATGAGCAGGCAACAGGAACGGAATCCAGCAGACAGGTGAGAGAGGAGAGAGTGTGTGTGGGCCTGAGAGTGCCTACATTTTGGTACCCAAGGCCACACCCAACTTGGTCTAGCATCTCAAAGGCCATTGGCTGAAAAAGGTTCCCCAGTGCCAGTCCAAACCCAGCCCCACCTCTGTCCCACCCCAGCTGCTGTAGTCTGGCTTGGGCAATGTCACTGTGGGCACTGCAGAGGGTTCAGCTTGAGTTTTGACAACTGATGTTCTGAATAAGGCTGTATAGTCCGGGAGAGTCCAAAGCTGCCATTATTTGGCCGAAACTATTATAGGTAACTTGGTCGTGGTTATATTCAGAAGCGGTAAGCTGCACACGCAGACGGCATGAGGAGCCATCTGTTCTGAGAGTGAGGCTCCGGTCAGAGCACGAATAGGGTCTTATCTCACACACTGCTCATTTCATTGATAACCATCCATCCCCTGTCCTACATCACCTTTGGTGCTCCCGGGGTTTCCGGCTCTTCGGTGGACTTAACTACCCTCTTGGAAAGAAACCATTGTCTCTCTGAGGGTGCTTTCTGCTCTGACCTCATCCTCAGCCCTTCCTACAGTAGCTTCCCATAATGCTCTTGGTGGTGGGACAAGGACAGTGGCACCAAGGGCTGGCCTAGGATGCCCACTGTCCATCAGAGCAGCTGGCTCCGCTACCCTGTCAGAGTGTCTTTCCAAGCGGTTGCTGTTTGTGAATTCGGGTTAGACGTCTTTCTGGAACTTTGAGTTTCTCTGTACCAACACCTACCAAGGCCCTTCCAATCTTCTGATGCCTACAGGCTTCAGAGTAATCTTGTGATAATCCCAGCACCCAGAAGTGAGTTAGTCCATTCTGAGAAGGAGCCTTGGTTTGAGAACAGGAAATGTCTTCCAATGACGTTAGGGTTTTCACTCACTTGTTTGATTTCCCCATTCAGGGATTAGGCACTAAGAAGCTGAGCGTGTTTCCAGCCCCTTTCCCAAAAAGGGCTTTTGAGGCCATACTGAGAAAACAAAAACCAAACAACAGCCAAACCCTGAGCAGACGTAAGGCCCTAAATCTGAGCTGGGTGTGGTGGCTTACCTGGAGCCCCAGCGCTGGGGAAGCCAAGGCACAGTGATCCCTTGGGGTTTGAATCTAGCCTGGCCTGCAGACTCAGGCTTTGCCTCAAAAAGAAAAGAAAGTTCCCTATAGTCTACACCATATCTGGCTGTCTGCCAATTAATATTTTAAAATTTACTATACTGATTGTCTATTACCACAAAACGTGAGTTGTTAGAATGGGTTGAGCATAAATTATCAGGTTTACAAAAAAATTGGGTCCTTCATCACATTGGTGGGAAGCATTTAGACTCTGAATTCTTGGCTCCCAACAGCACAGGGATATTGTTTGGGATGGTGGCCCCCCTGAGCCTCAGCTACCCGCTTTGGTCTCTGGGCTGACTGGCTGTGGAGAGTTGGCCTAAGGCTTTGTCGAGAGGCTCCACAGGAGAACGACAGCTTGACTGGGAAGCCATCTTGTTTGGCTTAGACACACTATTTTCAGTTGTCTGGTATTTGCAAGAAAAGGTGATCAAGAATAGTCTCCCTAACGCCGTAGTCCTAGATCTACGCAAGCCAGTCTTTCCTTCTCACCAGTAGGTGGCACTTCCTCCCACCCCAAAGCCTCCTCTACCCTACTCTAGGTTGGACTTGAAGTACTAGCTGACCATTCCAGCCTGATGTGGACATAGGTTTGAGACTTCATCCAAACACAGTCCGGGCCTCCAGATGTCTGCCTAGGGGAGTAACCTGTCAACAGGTGGCCTTGCAGGGCCAGAGAACAAAGTGTGGATTTACCCTGTTGGTCCCAAGAAGCCCACCCCCAAGTATCGGGCAGTTTTTCTCTGGTGGACTGAAGAATGGCTGTGGGAGGGGGCATCTTGCTCAGTCCCGTGATTTTCTGCCTTGTCACGGCAGTGTCAGGAACAAGAAGCCTGTGGTGATGCCTGACACCAACACAAGAGGGACGGTGTATGATGAAATCAAACATATAGACGGCTGGTTGTCTGGCAGGAGATTCAGGGGCATTTTCATCAACCTTAGGGACTCAGAGACCCAGCTCGAGACTCATGGGCATCCCACTGGCAGAAGGGCCCTCATCACCCCGCATTGTGCTGTCTCTCATGGTCCAAGGGATGTCCCAAGAGTGTCTGCCTCCTTACCCCACCCTACCCCACTCTCTTTCCCCTCACCAACAAAGGTGGATGAGGCAATGTCTCCCATGCTAGGTGTCCCCTAAGGTTGTCTTTCGTTCAACTCTGATGTCT